GGGATTTGAGGTTGGAGGCCACGCAGGTGAGGGAGGAGTTGTGGGAGAGGTAGAGATCTTCCAAGGAAGGGGGGAGGAGAGAGACGGACACCGACGGGACCGGGCCTGGGGAGAGGGGAGGGAATTAGGGGGAGTTAAGGAAAAAAAATATGATGGGGTTTGGTTGATTTTCCCCTAAAAAATGGTTAATTTTCCCCAAAAAAATGAGATTTTTTTGGGGGGGGGATTAGCGTGGAAAATGAGGAGTTTATGGGGGGAAAAATGTCAATTTTTTGAAGGGAAATGGACCCAAAAAATGGATTTTTGGGGGGGATTAGCGTGGAAAATGAAGAGTTTTGGGGGGGAAAATGGGGGAAAATGTGGGATTTTTGGAGGGGAAAATGGACCCAAAAAATGGATTTTTGGGGGTGGATTTCTTGTTGAAAAATGAAGAGTTTTTGGGGGAAAAAATGTTGGTTTTGGGGGAAAAATAGCCTAGAAAATGAGGAATTTTGGGGGAAAAAAATGGATTTTTTGGAGGAAAAAATTTGCAATAAATGTGAATTTTTTTGGAGTGAAAACTGAATTTTTTGGGGGTGGATTTGGGATTTGGATTTTTGCCAAAAAAAGAAAAAAAGAAGACTTTTTTTTGGGGAAAAAAATTGGTTTTTGGGGAGGGGAAATTGGGAAAAAAAGTGAATTTTTTGGAGTGGGAAAGGGACCTAAAAAATGGATTTTTTGGGAGGTTAAAATTACTCAAAAAAAGAGCCCAAAAATGAAGAGTTTTGGGGGGGAAAAATGGGGGAAAAATGACCTGAAACCACCAAAAAACACCCAATTTTTGACCCAAACCCTTCCAAACTCCCCAATTTTCCCCCAAAATGTCCAGAATTGGTTCCTCACCCGAGCAGAAGGTGCTGATGGAGCCTCCACGGGGTCCCTGAGGTCATGTTGGGTGACCCGACCCCGATTCTTGGGTTGATCTGAGCCAAAAACCTCCATTTTTGGGTCAAAACCACCCAAAAAAACTCAATTTTTGGGTCAAAACCACCCAAAAAAGTCGAATTTTAGGTCAAAACCACCCAAAAACCCTCAATTTTTGGGTCAACATGACCCAAAATAGTCGAATTTTGGGTCAAACCCCACCAACAAAAAAGTCAATTCTTGGGCAACAAATCCTCGAAAAAAGTCGAATTTTGGGTCACAAAACACCAAAAAAAGTCAATTCTTGGGCAAACACCACCCAAAGAAGCTGAATTTTGGGTCAAAACCACCCAAAAAAGTCGAATTTTGGGTCCAAACCGCCAACAAAAAAGTCGATTCTTGGGTCAACATCCCCCCAAAAAAGTCAAATTTTGGGTCAAAAACCACCAAAAAAAGTCAACTTTTGACCCAAACCCGCCAACGAAAAAGTCGATTCTTGGGTCAACATCCCCCCAAAAAGTTGAATTTTGGATCACAAAACACCCAAAAAACTCAATTCTTGGGTCAAAATCACCCGAAGAACTCAAATTTTAGGTCCAAACCCTCTAAAAAAAGTCAACTTTGGAGCCAAAACCCACCAACAAAAAAGTCAATTTTGGGGCCAAGATGACCCAAAAAAGTCAATTTTGGGTCAAAACCACCCAAAGAAGCTGAATTTTGGGTCAACATGACCCAAAAAACTCAATTCTTGGGTCAAAGCCACCCAAAAAAGTCAAATTTGTGGTCAAAACCCGCCAATGAAAAAGTCGAATTTTGGGTCAAAGAACACAAAAAAAACTCAATTCTTGGGTCAAAACCACCCAAAAAACCTCAATTTTGGGGTCAAAACCACCCAAAAAACTCAATTCTTGGGTCAAAATCACCCGAAAAACTCAAATTTTAGGTCAAAACGACCCAAAATAGTCGAATTTTGGGTCTAAACCCGCCAACGAAAAAGTCAATTCTTGGGCAACAAATCCTCGAAAAAAGTCGAATTTTGGGTCAAAACACCACAAAAAAGTCAGTTCTTGGACCAAAATGACCCAAAAAACTCAATTCTTGGGTCAAAATCACCCGAAAAACTCAAATTTTAGGTCAAAACCCTCCAAAAAAAGTCAACTTTGGGTCCAAAACCCGCCAACAAAAAAGTCAATTTTGGGTCCAAGATGACCCAAAAAAGTCGAATTTTGGGTCAAAACCCCCCAAAAAAGTCGAATTTTGGGTCAAAACACCAAAAAAAGTCAGTTCTTGGTTCAAAATCACCCAAAACCCTCAAGTTTTGGCTCCAAACCCTCCAAGAAAAGTCAACTTTTGACCCAAACCCGCCAACAAAAAAGTCAAGTTTTGACCCAAAACCTCCCAAAAAACCCCAATTTTCCCCCCAAATCCCCAAATCCAGGTCCTCACCCGAGCAGAAGGTGCTGATGGAGGCCTCCACGGGGTCCCTGAGGTCGTCCCTGGTGGCCCTGCAGGTGAACTCGGCCCCGACCCCCCACGCCGCGCGGCTGGCGTTGACGCGGCTGCTCAGGGCCCGATCCTGGCAGGTGGTGACCTCCTGGGGGGCCTCCAGGGGGTTCCCGTTGACCAGCCAGGTGACCTGGGTGTGGTCCAGGCCACGCCCTTCCAGCAGGCAGAGCAGGTGGACGTGGGGGTCGGCGGGGTCGGCCGGGTTGGGGTCGGCCAGGACGGTGACGCGGGGGGGAGGGGTCCAGCACAGGTCTGGGGGAGGGGAGGGGACACAAAAGGACACAAAAGGACACAAAAGGACACAAAAAAGGGTTAAAATCAGGACTGGTGACCCCCAAAAGTTGGTCCTACTGGGGGTTGAAAGGTTGATCTGGGGAGGGGTCAAGAACTCATCTGGGGATCCCCACCCCTCAAATTTCCCCAAATCCTTCCCCCTCCCCAAAAAAAAACCTCCTAAATTCTCCTGAAATGCCCCCAAATCCCCCAAAATCCCCTTAAATCTCCCCCAAAACCCCTTAAATCTCCCTCAAATCCTTCACCAAAAATCCCCTCAAATCCCCCAAACCCCTCCAAATCCCCCAACCCCCTTAAATCTTCTCAACCCCCAATCCCCTTAATTATCCCCAAACCCCCTCAAATCTTCTCAAATCCCCCAAACTTTCCCAAACCCCCAAACCCCCCAATTCCCCCTCAAACCCCCCAAACTCCCCCAAAATCCCCTAAACCCCCTCAAATCTTCTCAAATCCCCACACCTCCTAAAATCTTCTCAAATCTTCTCAAATCCTGCCCAACCCACTCAAATTCCCCCAAATTCCCTCAAATCCCCCAAATCTTCTCAAATCCCCCAAATCTTCCTCAAATCCCCCTCAAACCCCCTCAAATCCCCTCAAACTTCCCCAAACTTTCCCAAAATCCCCCAACTTTCCCCAAACCCCCTCAAATCTTCTCAAATCTTCTCAAACCCCCTCAAACTCCCCCAAACTTCCCCAAACCCCCAAACTTTCCCAAAATTTCCCAAATCCCCCTTAATTACCCCCAAACCCCCCAAACCTCCCCCCAAATCCTCACCTCTGACATCGGCGCTGACGACGGCGCCGGTGGCCTCGTGGCGGGCTTGGCAGCTGAAGGTCCCTTTTTGTGCCTCCTCCACCCCCAGGGTGACCAAAGAGCTCAAGCCGAAGGAGCTGGAGCCCAAATTGACCTCGGGGAAGGTGACAGAGGGGGCAGAGCCCACCCCGGACCAGGAGAAGGTCAGGGGGGGAGGGAAGAAGGAGGAGGCGACGCAGCCGAAGGCGACGACCGAGGAGGAGGAGGAGGAGCAGTCGGAGGAGCAGGAGATCAGCGGGTAGAGGGTGGGAGGGCTGGGATTGGCTGGGAGGGGAGAAAAATAAATTAAAAATAATTAGAAATAAATAAAAAAAAATTAAGAAATTAAGAAAAAATTAAAAAAATTAAAATAAAATTGAAATAAAGGTGTTAAGTTGCATTTAAGGTTGGTTACGGGGGAAGAAACGGCCTAAAAGTCACCTGAAAGGACCTAAAAATGACACAAAAAAAATGATCCCAAAATTACCCAGAAATGAGCCCAAAAATGTACCCAAAAATGAGTCAAAATGACCGTAAAATGACCTCAAAAATGTACCCCAAAATGAGTCCATAATGACCCCAAAAATGACCCTAAAATGAGCCCAAAACTGAATCAAAATGACCCCAAAAATGAGTCAAAATGACCCAAAAATGACCCTAAAAATGAGCCAAAAATGACCCCAAAAACGACCCCAAAACGACCCCAAAGTGATCCCAAACCCCACCTAAAACCGACCAAAAACGACCCCAAAATAACCCAAAATTGCCCCAAAAATTGTCAAAAAATGACCCCAAAAATGAGTCAAAAATGACCCCAAAAATGAGTCAAAAATTACCCCTAAAATTACCCCAAAATGGTCCCAAATGAACCCAAAAATGACCCCAAAATGACCCCAAAAACCAACTAAAACCGCCCAAAAATGACCCCAAAAATGACCCCAAAAATGACCCCAAAAATGGTTAAAAAATGACCAAAAAATGACCCCAAAAACGACCCCAAAATGATCCCAAAATGACCCCAAAATTGACCCCAAAATGACCCCAAAACGAGCCCAAAATGACCCAAAAACGCCCCCAAAGATGGGCCCGGCAGCCGAAGGCGACGACGGAGGAGTCGGAGCAGGAGGAGGAGATCAGCGGGTACAGGTTGGGAGGGGTGGGCTTGGCTGGGTAAGATAAAATTAAATTAAAATTAAATTAAAAAATAAATTAGGAATGAATTAAAAAAAAATTAAAAAATTTAAAAAATATAAAAAAATTTAAAATAATAAAAAATAAATAAGTAAATAAATAAATTGAAATAAAGGTGTTTTAAGTGAGGTTTAAGTTGTGTTAAGGTTGGTTATGGGACAAGAAATGGCCTAAAGATCAACTGAAACCGACCAAAAATGATCCTAAAATGACACGAAGAAATCATCCCAAAATTACCCAAAAACGAGCCAAAAATGAGCCCAAAAATGAGATTAAAGAGTCCGAAAATGACCCCAAAATGAGCCCGAAAATGAGTCAAAATGATCCCCAAAACCACCTAAAACTGACCAAAAATGACCCTAAAATTACCCCAAAAATGACCCTAAAATTACCCCAAAAATGAGTCAAAAACGACCCCAAAATGACCCCAAACCCCACCTAAAACCGACCAAAAATGACCCCAAAAATTGCCCAAAAATGACCCCAAAAATGGTTAAAAAATGACCAAAAAATTACCCAAAAATGACCCAAAAAGGATCCCAAATGAACCCAAAAATGACCCCAAAAATGGATAAAAAATGATCAAAAATGACACGAAGAAATGATCCCAAAATTACCCAGAAATGAGCTCAAAAATGACCCCAAAATGAGCCCGAAAATGAGCATGAAAATGAGCCCAAAATGACCCCAAAAATGAGTCAAAATTACCCCAAAAATGACCCCCAAATGAGCCCCAAATAACCCCAAAACGACCCCAAAAATGAGCCCAAAAATGAGATTAAAGAGTCCGAAAATGACCCCAAAATGACCCCAAAATGACCCCAAAAATTACCCAAAATTACCCAAAAATGACCCTAAAAATGAGCCCAAAAATTCACCAGATTGGTGAAAAAATAATGCGGAAAAATTGAATTAAATTGGGAATTAAATGGGATTAAAACTCCATTTAAGAGGGGGAAAAAAGGTCCAAAATTGCCCAAAATTGCCCAAAATTGCCCAAAATCGCCCAAAAAATATCCAGGTTTTTTTGGGGGGAAAAATTTGGAATTAAATGGGATTAAAATTCGATTTAATTGGGGTTTTAAACGAGGTTTAAACTGGGAAAAAAAGGCCTAAAATTGGTCCAAAATTGACCCAAAATTGCCCAAATTCACCCCAAAAATGACCCCAAAAATATCCAGTTTTTTAGGGGAAAAAATTTGGAATTAAATGGGATTAAAATTTGATTTAATTGGGGTTTTTAAGAGGTTTAAACTGGGAAAAAAAGGCCTAAAATTGATCAAAATTGGTCAAAATTGCCCAAAATTGCCCAAATTCACCCCAAAAACGACCCCAAAAATATCCAGGTTTTTGGGGGGGAAAAATTTGGAATTAAATGGGATTAAAATTCGATTTAATTTGGGTTTTTAAAGAGGTTTAAACTGAAAAAAAAAAGAGGAACTTCCTTAAAAAAACCAAAAAACCCAAAATTTGAAAAAAAAAAAACCAAAATTTAAAAAAAATGAAAAATACCCAAAAAGCCCCAAAAATACCCCAAAAAAACCCAACCTTTTCAGACACAACAGGAAGTTCAGGGCGGGTTCAGCCCCAAAAATTTGATTTTTAGGCTCAAATTTTGGGTCAAATTCGGGGTTTTTTGGGGGTGGTTTTAAAAATTTAAGTTTTTAAAGGTTGGGGATTTTTTTGGGGTGAATTCTTCGAGTTTTGGGTCCTAAAGGGGACCCAAGGTGGGGTTTTTAGGGTTTTTTTGGGGATTTTTGGGGGTTTAAAGGGTGTTAAAAAAGGGGAATTTTGGGGGGTTTTGGGGTGATTTTTGGGATTTTTTGGGGGGGAAATTTGGGATTTTTTGGAGGGATTTTTGGGGTATTTTTTGGGATTTTTTTGGGATAATTTTGGATTTTTTTGAGGTAATTTTGGGTGATTTTTGAGGTAATTTTGGGGTTTTTTTTGGTAATTTTAGGGTTTTTTTGGGGGTGATTATGGGGTAATTTTTGGATTTTTTTGGAGTAATTTTTGGGTTTTTTGGGGGTGATTTTGGGGTAAATTTTGGGTTTTTTTGGGGGATAATTTTGGATTTTTGGGGGTAATTTTGGGGGTTTGGAGGTGATTTTTGGGGTTTTGAGGTAAATTTGGGGGTTTTTGGGTAATCTTGGATCTTTGGGAGTAATTTTAGAGGACTTTTGGGGAATTTTGGGGTTTTAGGGTGATTTTGGTTCTTGGGGAGCAATCTTGGGGAAATTTAGGAGGTATTTTGGGATTTTTTTGGGGTAATTTTGAGATTTTTTTGGGGGGAATTTTGGGGTTTTTTTGGGATAATTTTGGGGTAATTTTTGAGATTTTTGGGGCAATTTTTGGGAATTTTAGGGTTATTTTGGATTTTGGGGATTTTGGGGGAATCTTGGGGTTTTTGAGGTAATTTTGGGGTTTTTTGGGGATAATTTTGGGATTTTGGGGGGGGAATTTGGGATTTTTGGGGGGTAATTTTTGGATTTTTTGGGGTAATTTTGGGGGGGTTTTGGGGGGGATATTTAGGATTTTTTGGGGGGAGATTTGGGCTCAGTTTTAGGGCAATTTTGGGGATTTTTTGGGGGAATTTTGGGTTTTTTTGGGGGGAATTTTGGGATTTTTTTGGGCAGATTTAAGCTCAGTTTTAGGGTCATTTTTTGGGGTTAATTTGGGATTTTTTGGGGGGATTTGGGCTCAGTTTTAGGGTCATTTTTCGTGGTTTTTTCCCTCATTTTTCTCGGGTTTTTTTCCCCCAAAATTTTCGATTTATTTTTTTTTTTTTAATTTTCGTCTTTTAATTTTTTAATTTTTCATCTTTTTTTTTCATCTTTTTTTTTCATCTTTTTTTTCATCTTTTTTTTCATCTTTTTTTTTCATCTTTTTTTTAATCTTTTTTTAAAATTTTTTTTCCTCTTTTTTTCCTTTTTTGGGGATTTTTTTTCCCAAACCCTTTTTTTTAAAATATTTTTTTAGGAACTTTTAGGGTTGTTTTTCACAATTTTTTTAAGGGGGGGGAGGGAAATTTTGGGGTTTTTTTTGCGGTTTTTTATTTTTAAGAGTCGTGGGGGGAGGGAGGAAAAGTGGGCGTGGCCTTCCCATGACGTCACCAGGGCAGTTTCGGGACGTTTTTGGGGTGGGGAGGGGCAGAGAAGGAGCCACGATGAGACCGGTGAGGATTTTAGGTCACTTTGGGGGCTTTGGGGTAATCTTGGGGGTTTTGGGGTTTTTGGGGGTTTTGGGGGTAAATTTTGGGATCTTTTTGTGCAACCTTGGGGCTTTGGGGCAATTTTGGGGGTTTTAGGGTCATCTTGGGGTTCTTTGGGGTTTTTGGGGTAATCTTTGGGAGGTCTTTGGGGTAATTTTGGGGTTTTGGGGCCTTTGGCCTTTGGGCCTTTGGGGGCCTTTGGGTAATCTTGGGATCTTTGGGGCACCTTTGGGGCCTTTGGAATCGTCTTGGGGTCGTCTTGGGGTCACCTTGGGGCCTTTGGGGGCTCTTGGGGCAATCTTGGGGGCCTTTGGGGGCAATTTTGGGCAATCTTGGGGTCTTTGGGGCCTTTGGGGTTGATCTTGGGGCCTTGGGGTAACCTTGGGGCCTTTGAGGTAATCTTGGGGTCTTGGGGTAAATCCTGGGGGCTTTGGGGGCAACTTTGGGATCTTTGGGGTAATTTTGGCTTTTTGGGGCAACTTTGGGATTTTTGGGGTAATCTTGGGGTCTTTGGGGTTGATTTTGGAGCAACTTTGGGGGTCTTGGGGTCAACCTTGAGGGTCTTTGGGGTCACCTTGGGATCTTTCCAGGGTCACTCGGGTCTTTGGGGCACTTTGTGGTTTTGGGGGTAACTTGGGGTCTTTGGGGCTGATTTTGGGTAACTTTGGGATTTTTGGGGGCAACTTTGGGGCTTTTGGGGATTTTTAGGGGTAACTTTGGGGTCTTTGGGGTACCTTTGGGGGTTTTGGGGTAATTTTTGGGATTTTTTTGGGGGTAATTTTGGGGGTTTTTGGGGGGTTGATTTTGGGGTAATTTTTGGGATTTTGGGGTCCCTGTGGGGTCCCTTTGGGGTCATTTTGGGGTCCCTATAGGGTCGGGGGTCCTTATAGGGCCATAGGGGGTCCCTATGGGGTCCTTATAGGGTCGGGGGTCATTTTGGGGTCCCCTATAGGGTCAGGGGGTCCCTATGGAGTCCCTTTGGGGTCGGGGGGTCCTTATAGGGTCAGGGGGTCCCTATGGGATCCCCTATAGGGTCGGGGGGTTCTATAGGGTCAGGAGGGTCCCTATAGGGTCGGGGGTCATTTTGGGGTCCCTATGGGGTCGCTATGGGGTCGGGGGGGTCCCCTATAGGGTCGGGGGTCATTTTGGGGTCCCCTATAGGGTCGCGGG